TCTGTGTCTGTGTTAATTGGTTTCCCTTTTCTTTGTTGAAGAGGGTCTGTGCAATCCTTCTGCCTAGTCCGCCATCTTGCCCCGCCTCCAGTATCCATTTAGCACTTTAACCACTGTGATACAAATCTCTGTTAAGCATCTCCAATCTTTTTTAATAAACGTTTTCAAACAGTAACAATGCAGATTTTTGTTATCTTCTTAAATTTTGGTTGGTTGGTTGGTTTCTAACTGATGACTGGGTAAACTGATGATTCCTATGTAAGTAGATTAATGTTCTGAATATACTCTGATGCTAAGCTTAGTTTGACTTGGAATGCAGATTAACAATAAATTTTGTTAGAGAGATGGTAAATGAAGATTTAATGTGTTTATTTACCTTATATAAAATGGAAAGGTGCAGATGATGTTAGGCTGTTAACTTATAAGGACTCTTAAAAGCTAAATTACTTTCATTGAAGACAGTTTTCTGAATCAACAGAAAGTCTTATTTTGTATATATGCTTCAATTTTTCCTATCTGTCTAGGGCTTTGGCTCATGTCATACACTAGGGATTGTATTAGTCATTTGCTTTACATTTAATGTAATAACAATCAACTGAACAATGATGACTTAGTTATAAGCATCATAAATAAAGTAAAAATCTCCATACAGAAGTAAGCTTATTGTCAAAAGCCATAGGGCAGGGAGGAAGTGGGAAGAGAGCTGTTACGTTATGGGGATTGCAGTCAGTGTCATGAAATGAAATGTGTAAGAACTTCTGTTTGGAAAATGAATTTGCTTTGTAAACATTCACCCAAATCCCAATTTAATAAAACGAAAATTTAAAAAAAAAAAAAAAGCCATAGGGCACACATCTCCTCCCCCACTCAGTCTTTGAGTCACTGTCATCATGTTGTAGCTCACTCTTTGAGAAGTAGCATTGCCCTAAGTTATGCTGCTGTTGCTTTTTATGTGATGAGTGAAAGGCCTTTACCAGGTCTGTCTTTTAGTTTTAGATGAGCATGATCCCACTTCTTCATTCAGTCCCAGAATTGCTTTTCATCTGTGACATGCTTATTTTATTATATTCTTGTCTATTCTTAGGAGAAAGGACTATTGGGACACTCCGCCTGAGTTTATATTCAGTGTGCACATTGTATACAGGTGTGGCTGAAGTTTCTAGTAGAAAATGCTCAAGCTTTGGAGTTGGAAATGCCTGGGTTTGATTTCAGCCTTGGCTTGTATAGCTGCCTGCTTCTCCAGCTCAGCCTTCACAGCTCTTCACTACGCTCTTCCCATGCTGGCCATTCTGTTATTATAAGGAGACATAAGCACACTTTTCCCAGCTGTTTTTGAGGCTTGCTCCTTCACATTAGTCCACTCAAACGTTATCTGATCAGGCCTTCCCTGACTATCCCATTTTAAAATAACACAACCTGCTCCATCACTTTCTCTCTCCTTTCTCTATTTTCTTCACAGCACACCATCTATTCATTTGTTTCTTTGCTTAATGTATGACTCTCCCTATAGAATTAAGGTTCCTTGGGGCTTATTTAACATTGTATCCCCAACACCTGTGATATAGTAGGTGCTTGAGAAATACTTAGATGTGAAATTTAACCTCTTTGAGCGTATTTCCTTATCTGTAAAATGGTGGTACTAATACCATCATCACATGGCTGGTATAAGATTAAGTACATTCCTTTTTCCATTTTTACCCCCTCTCTTCAGTACATAGAGATCCAAGATGGGATTATAACATTTAAGATTTCCCTGTCAGTCTGACCTTCTATCTTAAATGTCACCTCTCTAAGTTTGAAACAAGTAAGTAGTTCCATAGGCAAAGCATGGCCAAGTTCTCAGCTCATGGTCTCATAAGGCTGAAATCAAGATATTGCCTATGACTGGGGTCTCCTGAGGTTTGGGATTCTCTTCCAAGTTCACATGATTGTTTGCAGAATTCAGTTCCTGGTACCCTGCTAGCTCCCACTAGCTTCCAGAGGCCACCCTCAGGTCCTTGTCACATAGTGATCTCCATAGGCAGTTCACATCATGCCTGTTTGCTATTGCAGGGCCAGCAGGAGAATCTGGCTTCAAATCTCTTTTTTTCAGGAAGGCCCAGTTCTTTTAAAGGGCCTCCCAGAATAATCTACTTTCCATTAACTCTAATAATAAACTTCAGTTGTGTGTGCACATCCCTTCACCTTTGTCATGTAATGAAATCTGTCATATTCATAGTCCCATGCATACTTGACTTGGTATTTATACCAGATATGGGAATATTGGGGCCATATCAGAATTCTGCTTACCATACTGCCATATCTTAGTAAGTGAAGTATTTTCTGTTGAAGGAGGATAATTGCCATCTGAAATATGCTCAGCAGATGCTGGGCTTTTCCTTTCTCCCATTTTGATAAACATATCAAAATAGTAACTGTTAGAGTAATTTTTTAAATATAATTTATCTTTAGATATGTATCACCCTGAAATTGTTTTTAAATTATACAGATTGTTTTTTGTTGGAAACTACTTCCCAATTAGTTGTCATAAGATATTAACATTTTCTAAGAAGCTATTTTGTTTAAGAAAATTTATGCATTTATATACCCACGATCACAGCACAGTTAATCAAAGATTTCACACACTTATTGCTGCTGTTAGGTGCTGTCAGGTTAGCTCTGACTCATGGCAACCCTCTGTACAACAGATTGAAACACTGCCCAGTCCTGCACCATCCTCACAATCTTTGCTGTGCTTGAGCCCATCATTGTAGCCACTCTGTCAGTCTAACTTACTGAAGGTCTTCCTCTTTTTGACTCACACTCTACTTTTATCAAGTACATGAGATGAAGTCTGGTCATTCTTGCTTCTAAGGAACATTCTTGCTATACTTCTCCCAAGACAAGTTTGTTTGTTCTTCTAGCAGTCCACGGTATTTTCAGTATTATTTGCCAACACCACAACTCAAATACATCAGTTCCTCTTAAAAACAAACAAACAAACAGATAAACACCAAACTCACTGCCAGTTGATTCCAGCTCATAGTGACCCCTCCTTGGGTTTCCAAGGCAGTATATCTACGGAAGTAGGTTGCCCCATCTTCCTTCTGAGGAGTGGCTGGTGGGTTTGAACCACCAGCTTTCTGGTTAGCAGTCAAATGCCTTAGACACTATGTCATCAGAGCTCCTTCCTCTTAGATCTTTCTTATTCATTGTCCAGCTTTCACATTGCATATGAGGCAATTGAAAAATACCATGGATTAGGTCAGGCACACCATAGTTTTGAAAGTGACATATTTGCTCTTCACCACTTAAAAGAGGTCTTTTGCAACAGATTTGCCCAGTGCAATACATTGTCTGATTTCTTGACTGTTGCTTCCATGGGTATTGATTCTGAATCCAAGTAAAATAAAATCCCCGATAACTTCAGTCTTTTGTCCATTTACCGTGATGTTGCTTATTGGCCCAGTTATGAGGATTTTTTCCTTTATGTTGAGGTGTAATCCATACTGAAGACTGCAGTCTTTGATCTTCATCAGTAAGTGCTTCAAGTCATCTTTACTTTCAGCAAGCAAGGTTATGTCATCTGTATATCACAGGTTGTTAATGAGTCTTCCTCCAATCCTAATACTTAGTCGTCTAATTATATCCTCTTAGAAAATAAACAGGACCTTTGTTTTACAGGATAATACAAAAGTAAGTCTGTAACTAGTTATTTTCCATTCTCCATTAAATTCTAAGTTAAGTTTATAACATTAGATTCAGCTGATAGCAAATTGAGCAAAATAAAAAATGGTGTGTTGATTTCTTAGCCATAAACAAGCTAATTTGTACTAAAATCAACTATGATTTAGTAAAAGTCTAATCAGAGTGATAGATAAAATACACTTGACACTTTCTGAATACTGTGTAAAAATTATATTGCAAATATAAAGAATGACAATATGGTTTAGTTAATGAATTACTCATCTCCCAAATGGCACGTATCCTCCCAAAATAAATTAATTTCCTGTTTTAAAAAAATCAATATCTCTATGCAGTACTTTGATAACTTTCCTATTGTTTGGGTTTTGAAAATATATAAATATTGTAGACAGTGAACACATAATATGAATCAGCAGACTGGGTGCCTTAGTTTATTAGCGCTGCTGTAGTAAAAATACCACAAATGGATGACTTGAACAAACAGAAATTTCTTGTCTCACAGTTAGGCATCTAGAAATCCAAATTCAGGACACTGGTGCCACAGGAATGCTTTCTCCCTTTGTTGTCTCTGGGGGAATGTCCTCTTCTCTTCAGCTTCTGTCCCTTGATTCCTTTCTGATCTCCAAGTGTCCTTGTTGTCTCTTTACCTAAGCTCTTCCTTTGATAGCTCTGAAGTGATTGGCTTAAGACACACCCTCCACTGATATAACCACATTAACATAAGAAAGAAAACCCTATCACAGATAAGATTATATCCACATGTGGAGGTTAGGTTATGCAGCATAGATTTTGGGGGGAAAACACACTTCAATCCATAATACCAGGTAAGAGATCAGATTTACTTTTCCAGCTCAAATAATCACATCTATAGCAGTCTGTATCTTCCTCCACATCTTGTCTTGTCTCTGTTTTCTAAAGGCTCTCTGCTACTTTTTGGTTGCTAATCAGAGATAATCTAATTCCGTTTTATCTCCAGGGATGCTCTCAAACTGGTAGAGTTGAAACAGAAGGGCAAGATCCCTGACTCCAGGCTGACACCAGCCCCTCCAGTCCTTCCAGTCATTCCTGCAGCACCCGTGCCTACGCCAGCTGCAGCAGGGCCATCCTATCCCCGGCCAACGATCCCACCTGTATCGACTCCTGGACAACCTAATGCAGTGGTAATGTCATCCAAATGGTTTGTAATTTTCAGATTTACCTGAGAGAAAGAAAGAGAGGGAAAATGAGGACTTTCACCAATCCACTTTGGTAGCAGTTAAAAGTGATTAAAAAACACTCTGAGTACTTTATTTGCATATTTCTTTGCATAAGCCAAATTGTTCAGTGTTAACTCCCAAATAGACCATTAGACTATGACTCAATTTTAATTTATCACAAATTCTGCAACTTCACTATCATGTATGCTCTATAATCGTGAGGCATTTCATGTCACTTTTTTCCTAGATATACTGATTAATGGCTGACATGAACTCCCTTTTGTGAATATGTTTTATTTTTTAAGTAAGGAACTGCTAGGGAGCTCTGGTGGCATAGTATCTAAGGCATTTGACCCTAACCAGAAGGCTGGTGGTTCAAACCCACCAGCCACTCCTCAGAAGGAAGACTGGGCAATCTACTTCTGTAGAGATACTGCCTAAGAAAGCTAGAAGTGCTAATCTCACTGTGGAAGACTGTATAGACTTTAAAGCTAATCATTTTTCTCAGATGTGTGCCTTGTAACAGCCCTTTTGTTTTCAAATTACTCTTCTTTGCCGCTTCTGCATCCCTTTCCTAGTACATTTCACTTCATTTGTTTCTTATCAGAAGAAATATAGGAAAATCAGGTTTATTTGAAACTGAAGGGTACTTTTTACAAAAATAAACAAACAGAAGATAAATAAACCTGAATTGCTGTTTCTAATGGAGAAATATATTCTGAAATAATACTGTTAAAGGGTTAAAACAATACAGATTTCATGTGAAAGATTTTTAGTGTTCATTAATGATCCATGACTACATATATAAAAAGTTTGTGTAATCGAATACTTATTTAAAAAAAAAAAAACTATTCAAATTATGAAGGCATACTTTATTTTCAGATTTTTTTTTATGATATGCAAAGAATATTCATTCTTTTTGATAAAGTACTTTGGAAACATAAATAAAAACATTTAATTCCTGTCTAAACATTCTTAAAAAAGATGAGCTGAACTTTCTGCTGCTTTATATTTATCTTAAGGTGATTGTAATCTAGTCCCAGAATGGAATGAAGGACAAGGAAGGAATCAGATAATTTGGGTCCATCATGCTTTTGTGAGATTCAAGAAACAGAATGGGTAAAAGCCATAGTAAAGTTACAGTAAGATTTTATTATCTTATTCATACCTTTTATTATGAATTCCTAGGAAATCAGATAACGGTTTTTTTTTCCCCTAGGAGCTCTGGTAGCATAGTGCCTAAGGCACTTGACTGCTAACTAGAAGGCTGGTGGTTCAAACCCACCAGCCACTCCTCGGAAGGAAAGTGGGGCAAACTGCTTCCACAGTAGTAGTAGTGATACTGCCTTGGAAACCCAAGGGGGGTTCGCTATGAGTGGGACACATAAAAACAACAACAAACCAAAAAAGAAATAACTTAGCAAGTTGTCCAGTATATTAACTGTCTTTTTCTACCAGTTGCCATTTTTATAAATAAGGATTGCCTATACATATAATTCCTGAGTTAGGATATATTCGAATTAAGACAAACTTCATGTACCACTGTCTTTTTTTTAATCTTATCATTAGTAATATGTACTACATACAGTGTTGCAGTGTGTAATTTACTGCTGTTACCATTCTCATGCCAACTCCGAAAGACAAAGATCAGATTTATAAAGATACTGAAAACAAAATGTAATAATAATGAAAACTAAAAAAAAAGTAAGGTATTTGACTTCATAAGAATAAATTTAAAACAGAGTGAACAGAATGTCGTCATAAATCTCAGGTAACAAAATAGTAAGTGAGGAAACACTGTTGTTGTTATGTGCCGTCGGGTTGGCCCCGACTCATAGCGACCCCTCCTTGGGTTTCTGAGGCAGTATCACTACGGAAGTAGGATTGCCCAACTTTCCTTCCGAGGAGTGGCTGGTGGGTTTGAACCACCAGCCGTCTGGTTAGCGTCCTCAATCTGCCACTTGTGGAAGGAAAGGGGGGTAATCTCCTTCCATAAAGATTTACTGTCTCAGAAACCCAGTCAAAGAGGGTCGCCATGAGTCATAATCAACTCAGTGGCATGAGTTTGGTTTTTGTGGTTATCTTGTTTTCCAGAATTTCATGTTTAAATATCTACTATCCAACTAGTTTGTGATTAACAACATGTGTGTGACAGTAACATATGCCAAGGTGAGAGTACTGCTGGCTGTGATGGTTAAGTTTATGTGTCAGCTTGGCTGTACCATGATTCTCAGTGGTTTGGCAGTTCTGTACTACTATACTTTGGCAGTCATATATTGACGTAGTCATCCTCCATTTTGTAATTTGATGTGGTCATCCTCCATTTTCACCTAACACCAATTATTGCATAATGACCTGTTCTTTGACACCTAACCATGTCAGTAAGTAAGGAGTTGGTATATATCCATCTATCGGACAATTATTCATAATTTGGTGGATTTTGAAATCATCTAAGCACAGTAACATGATGTTGCAGTCAAACCTGAAGCATGAATTTTACTACTTTTATCTATGTTCATTTACATTTCCTTATTTCTAAGTATATGCCTCCTTACACTAAAAAAACTTTAATAATATTTTTAATGTATTAGTCTTTAATTAATGTCATAATGTAGGTCACTGAGGCTGAATTCCAGGTTAAGAAGTTTTGAGTTTTTGTTTCCATCCCACTTACAGTTTACTGGACAGTAACTGTTTGCTGTTTCTTTGCAGGGTACATTCTCCAAAATCCCTGCTAGCAATATTCGAAGAGTTATTGCCAAAAGGTTAACTGAATCTAAAAGTACTGTACCTCATACATATGCTACTACTGACTGTGACCTTGGAGCTGTTTTAAAAGTAAGACAAGATCTGGTCAAAGGTGAGTAAAGTTGAATTAACTTAATGCAGCACTGTTCTGGTTAACTAGTGCCTCTCTGATAAGAATATACCACAGATGGGATGCCTTTAATAAACAAGAGTTTATTCTCTCACCATTTGGAGGCTTTAAGTCCGAGTTCAAAGTGCCAGGCTCTAGGGGCTGTGTGAAAGCCCCTGGACCTTGAGCTTCATTCAGCTCTGCCTCTTGCTCCTGTCTCACTGGAGTTAGAGGCATCTTTCCACTCAGGCAGCTGCTAGCTACTGAGGATGACAAACCCAGTCGACAAGTGAAAATGCACGGTCCTGATGTTACCAAACCACATGGCAGGCCATTCATTCAAATCCATTGAAAGTCCCAAGGTTGTCGGCAGAGCGTGGCAGGCTGTTGAGCAACAACACGGCTACATGCAGGGTCCAAGTGTGCCATAGGCTAGACGCCATTCCCAAGGCTTCTCCTTATATACAGGAAGCAGACCACGTCTCTAAGGCAGCTACTCAGCTGCTCACAGTAGATTCCATCATGGAGTTGATTACCAGTCTCATCATGGGGAATACTACATCCAGCTGCCCAGCCATTCAACCAGGCCCAGCCAAGTTGACCCACAAAATTAACTACCCCAAGCACACATACTAATTAGCTATGAAGAAATCCTTTATAAACCCACATTGTATAGCATTTTATGTCAGTTTCAAAATCTACTTGTCCTCTACCCTGGGAGTATTTTAGTGTTAGAGAAAGGAGTTGCATCTATTTTCCTGTAAGAAATAAATTGGTTCCATAGTATTGAATAAATCATTATATTACTTTTGTGCAGAATAAGGGTTTCTGTTCTGCCTGCTTTCGTTCCCTCTGTCATATTTGAATAATGTGCATTGGGTTAACATTCACTCAGCAGGCAGTTCCTGAGTGCCAGCTTTTCTCCCACACATTGATCTGCACAAATAGTGCTATAGATTTGTGGTATTTATTGTTTCTTTCATTCTTAAAGCAAAAATAGTCTTAATTTCTGGTTTGCTTTTTTACTTTCATATTTGTTAATTTTGTAGGGGAATCATGAATGACTTTTTCAGGCTAAACAAGTTGTTATTGCTGTTTTTGTTTCGAATGGCTTCCCAAATAGTTTTTGTTATGGTATCTGAACAAAGCAGTCCTTATTAATATTTTAGCACCTGAACACAAGTAAGAAATCCAAAACTGATTTAAGAATGTTTTAGATTGTAGGTAGAGCAGATCTTACTCTTCTTTATACAAGTTTTTATTTTATATTTCTTTTTCAGAATGCCTTCAGGTGATTTGTAATTGGTACTCTGAAATACTGTAATATTCTTCCCAAAAATCAATTAAAAATATAAGGTTGCTGAGAGATCCATGGATTTTTAGCATGAACTAACGATCTTATTTCTTTCTTCCCAAATTGTGTGCCATTAATCTTGCCTTCAGGTACTAGCTAGAACCTCTAGTACAATGATGACTGTAAGTGGTAATGTACACATCCTTGCCTTTTTGATCTTGGGGAAAACACTCAGTCTTTAATGTAGGGGTAGGTGTTGTAGATGCCCTTTATAAGGCTGAGGAAATTCCCATTGATAATTTGCTGGGAAGTTTGAGTGTGAATGGATGTCCTATACCGTCTCATACTCTGACAGTGATTAATCCATCCCTTCCTTTGTTCCTCTCTTCTCAGAGAGGGGTTAGTTCCCTTTGGAATTCAGTTCACCTGTTTGTTTAGTGAACTGTGCTTCCTAATAGGTCAAGAAAAATTATTATTTTGTTCTTCCTCCTGTTTTTTTTCTCATTGTTAGGATGGGAGCAGTTTTCTGCATGGTTCTTAGATACATTTAGTTTATATACAGACTTTCAAGATTTCATGTTAAAACAACTTGACAACTTTTAAAAATTCAAGAAACCAAATGGAAAGCTACTGCAGAGAAAGTGGTCAATTTTCAAAAACTCCCCTCGTAGATTTCAAATCATACTGACTTAGTAATGATATAAGGACTATTATGGGAGTAATTTTTCTGGTTCCTTCACCAAGGGTGTTTTCTCTTATGAGGCAAGAGACAGTAGTATTACAGTGGAGATTTAGATTTAGTGTCTTTGCATGGTCCAGATTTGGTGTGTCCTTGCAATTAGGAATTTTCTGGTGAATTTTAACACATTTATATGTCTATCTCTATCCCCTTTTCTTATGTAAGCTACTAATATGTAGCATAACATTGTATAAATTAGTTCTACATGTTGCTTTTGTAACTTAACAGTATGCGAAGAACACTTGAAATTCCTTCACAAATTATTTCCTGCTCCATTCTCAATAATATCACCAATGACCTCCTTTCTGTATATTTGAAAATTCCCATAATAAAGAGTTAATAATAAAGGAACTTCAAAAAAAATGTCCTTTCAACATAACTAGATTTGAGATACCTATTAGATTCGATGTAAGTAGATATGTCATGTGAGAAATGGAGTAGACAAATCTGAAGCTCTTCATAGGTCAGGATTAGAAGTAGAATTTGGAGGAATCAACAGCATGTAAATGGTATCAAAGCCTGGAACCGAAAGTCCTCACCTGGAAAGATGTCCACATGGAGAGGAAGGGGCTGACACTGAGTGAGTGGGCAGATGAAGAAAACCAGGACAGTATAGGGACATGGGAGCCAGTAAGAGAAATTGTTTTAAGATGAAGAAAGTGATCAACTTGAGAAAGGGTGTAAATGGTGGAGTACGATGAGGATAGAAAATTGTAGGTAGGGATTCTGGACTTGGGGTATAGATTTAGGAGTCATCAGCTAGGTACGTAGTTTTGGAAGCCTTCACTATGAATTCCGATGGGTAGTAAATAAAGCAAGAAGGGAGCTGAAGGAGCCCTGAGAGGTAAACATAATGTGTTCATAAATCATATGTTTAGATTGTGTTTGAGTTTGTGCAGTCCTAATCTTTTGTATGTATGTGATTATCAGTAAAATGTCAAGGACTGAAATCCATTTATATTCCACTTCCAAAGGGCTTTAAACAGACAAATAAAAATCTTTATGCATTTCTGGAAAGCTAAATTAGAAGAGTTAGGATATTATGCAGCTGGCCATTACTGTGACAGTTGGACTTTGTTCAGGTTTATGGTAATACATCTAATCTCGTTCTGAAATCTCCAGAATGCCTTTAGAATGAGTTGTTGTCCATGTAAAACCCATGATACTATAGTAAGAGGGTTTGTATATCCTGCCACATACCATGGACTATGTATCTTGAACTTAAAGTCTTTTTCTAGAAACTCTTACAGGAAAGAATCACTTGTAGTTTGGGTTTCCAATATTCCATACCCACTGTGAAGAGCAAAGGTATAAGTCAGATGCTTTAGTTATGATCAGTTCTGTGTAAATGGAGGAGACCTAAGTTCTATCTTAAAATCAGTATGTATGCTTGACGGAAATTAATTCAAATGGATTCACTGTGAAAATAGACAGAAAACCTCATTTTGTTCATTGAATTAGGACCTGTGCCAACATCGCTTCATCTTTGGCAGTTGCGATATCCTGTTTTTTTAAGCCAGAAAGCAACTCTTATAGATACTGTACTCTAAAAGTTTTTGGTTTTACACCCCTATTAGTAGAAAGGGATACAGATATAGATATAATTGTGTATTTAAAGTGTCCACATGTACTACTGTTCTACTGTAATCAATATGTAATAAAGCATGCATAAAATCAGGACATCTTAAAGGGATGAGGGAAATAAATAAATCAATCATCTTGTAAACTTCCTGACTACATACCCCACAGAGAGAAAGACCATTATTCCTTACAGAGACATAGGAGTTGGTATTTACTTTCTGAGTATAGTTGTAATATATCATTCAAGTTCTTGTGCATGATAATACCTGAGCAGTTTTTAAAAATTACAATAAAAGTCCAGAGTAAAAATTTACATTCATGTTTAAATGCTTATCCAGGACGTCATTTAATGAAAGTTTTTCTAATGAAGGGAACCTTATTGATTAAGCAAACAAAGAAACAAAACACTTGTAAATATTTTTGATCATTAATGCAGTCTATAATTTAAAACTTTGAAATCATAATATCATTGTTAAAGTTTTATTATTTATATTAATCTTAATGTGTTTTTTGTTTTTTCCAGATGACATAAAAGTATCAGTAAATGATTTTATCATCAAGGCAGCAGCTGTTACCCTTAAAGTAAGCAATTCCCAAATGAGTTTGGTTTATAAAATAATCTCACATCTTGGGATTTCTATAATGATAAGTAGAGCTCTGTTTTTAAGTCACAAAAATTGTATAACTTTATTGCTGTCATCTAATCACCCTCATTTTACAGATGAAGAAACAGTATCATAAGGATAAAAAAAAAAAAAAGTTCACTGCCATCAAATCCATTCCAACTCATAGTGACCCCATTGAGTTTCCAAGGCTGTAGATCTTTACAGAAGCAAACCACCCCATCTTTGTTCTGCAGAACAACTGGTGGGTTCAAACCACTGACCTTTTGATTAGCAGCCAAATGCCTTAACCACTGTCCACCAGAGCTCCTTTGTCATAAGGATACTCACAGCTAATTATAGCAGAATAAAGACTAGTTCTTTATTCTGAGCCCCTGGGAGCTCTGGTAGCGTAGTGCCTAAGGCACTTGACTGCTAACCAGAAGGCTGGTGGTTCAAACCCAGCTGCCACTCGGAAGGAAGATGGGGCGATCTACTCCCGCAGTGATACTGCCTCTGAAACCCAAGGAGGGGTCTCTATGAGTCAGGTCTGACTCAACAGCACATAACAACAATTGAACCCCTATCTTTTGCTAAATTCTAGACATTAGAGATGTAGCATTGAACAAAAAGCAACATTGTTTTTATTCTCGTAGGGCTTATATTCTACTAGGGGGCACAAACAAATATATGTCAGATGTAAAAAGTGCTGAGAAGAAAAAGAAAATAGGGTAAGAGGACAAAGTAACTAGGGGTCCTATTTTCAAAAGTTACACAGGGAAGTTCTGACAAGATGATATTTCAAAGAAGAAAGAAAGTGACCCAAGTAGGTAGAAGAGCGTTCCAGACTGTTGCAAACAAGTGCTCTGGTTGTTGTTTAGTGCTGTTGAGGCATTTTTGACTCGTAGTACCCTGTGTGTCACATATGACCTCATGTGACACAGGGATTTCTAGGCTGTAATCTTTACGGGAGCAGGTCACCAGGTCTGTCTCCCACAGAGCTGCTGGGTAAGTTCAAACCACCAGTCTTTTGGTTAGCAGCTGGGTGCTTAACCATTGTGCCACTAGGATTCTTTTCTTCCGGACAGTTGTTAGCCATGATAAGTAAGGAATTGAGATTTTTACGATGAATAAGAAGGAAACCTCTGAGGACATATGAGCAAAGGACTAAGGTGATCTGATTTATACTTTAAAAATGAGAAGGGAAAAAAAACAAGGAGAAACCACTTGGGTTGCAATGTGGAATGTGGACTGGGGAGAGGCAAGAGTGAAAGCAGTGAGGTATCCTAGAAGGCTGTGCAGGGGTCTGAGTAGAAGATGACATAGTTGTTTGGAGTAAGGGATAACAGTGGGGCTAGGGTGAGGTGAGAGTTTGGTTAGGTTTTAAAGGTAGAGTCAAAAGGATTTGCTGATAGGTTGGATTTTAGGTATATGAGAAAAGGGTCAAGGATGATGCCAAGGATTTTGGCCCAAGCAATGAAAGTAATGAACTTTTTATTTACCTAGCATACAAAAAAATATAAGGACATTTTCAAAGAGAAGACTAAGAAGGCTGGCAATTAGGAATTCGGTTTGGGGCACATTGAGTGTGAAGAGCCTATAGATGTCCAAATGGAGGTGGCAGGAAAACAGTTGAATATATGAATGAGCCTGAGATGTAAATCTAGAATTTACTGGTCAGCAACATTTTCTATCCTTTTTTTTTTTTTTTAATTTTTGTTGTTTTTTTGGTAAGTAGCCTATTTTCTGAGATCACTGCTTTTTACATACTATATTTACAGTATATTGATAATGAATTTATTTTAATTTCTTGAAAAAAGAAATACAGTAGCACATTTCATAGACAAGCATGTGTGATCTTCTGTAGAATCATTCTTAATTTTACTAACGCACAGAAGGCTTGAGCTTTTGTTATTCCAGGTGATGATAAATACTTAATGTGTCAGATATCATTGTAGAAAGCAGACAAATGACTACTTCACAGTAATGTTATGAAAAGTGAGATGCCACTTTTGTTTGTTAAATAAGTTACTAGGTCCAGCCATTATCCAAAGGGAGAGGATTACACAGGGCAGGAATACCAGGAGGTGGGGATCATTGGGCGATATCTCAAGAGGCTGCCCACCATTGTCATCATACAGTGACTCTCTACAGCAAATATTTCATGCTGATATCCTTTCATTTATCTCGTGATATTTGTATTGTAACCCCTGGTATTTTTTTGTCCATTTTTTAACCTTAAATTTTTCTACGTCATCTTGTTTTAGTATGTAATGAACATTTTTAGTACACTCTTTGTCTTTAGGCAAATTTATTGAAATTAGAGTTATTGTTGTTACAGGTACATGTGGGTTTTGTCAGTACTGTTTTGGGTACAGTATTATATAAAATTTCTAAAAGTTAATCTAGCAAATTAACATTGAACTTCTGTGATATAGGTTCTATGGGGACTATAAAAATATAAAACATGGATTATGTCCTGGAGGAGCGCATGACATAGTATGCTGGTAGACGAGATCCAAACAAATAAAAATTACCTTATAAACTGTAACAGAATGTAACACATGCTAGAATGAAGTATTAGCTCTAAATCAAAATACAAGCCATGAGAGCAGAGATTTCTTGGCTGTTTTGTTCCGTGCTGTGTCTCCAGTGTGTACATATTTAGTGAATGAATGAATGAATGAATACTCCTGGATAATGGCATTGTTGATTGAATCAAGGGACTGAACCTTGAAAGTTGAAGTAGAAACAACAGTTGAAAAGTGATGTGAAGGTAGTATTGAGATGATAATGAGCATAGCCTGACAGTGAGAGGCCTGAGTGAAGGGAACATTGTTCTTAGGGGACAGGTCAGAAATGGATAGGTACAGGTAGGATGGAATCCAATTGGGATTGCCATGGTTAAGTGCCATGCTGGAAGCCTTGGATCCTATTCTAGGGGGGTGGGGTGGGACGCGAAGCAAAGAATCTTTGAGAAAGTAAATTGGTATTTTGATTACTGTTTCTCAGCATCATTTTCTGTTTATATTTTTTGGCAACATTAAATATTCTTTAGTCATTTCATCTGATTTTTTTTTATCCTGAATATATCATATGTGTGTTAAATATACATGCTTACGTGAAGTATATATCATGTTTATGAAGCTTGGGAAATCTTTGTTAAATAGTGAAGGCACTTACTGAGGGCCTGCTAATATATTCCAGGGCTGCACTAGAAAATCAAGTTGTCTTCATACCAAAGAAATAATGTGGTTGAATATCACCACCTCTTTTCTCTCCTTTCTTCCCCTCAAGGTCATGTCAGTCATCATGTGAGACAGGAAGCAGAGCAAGTACCATATAACAAAATTAAACACCACACTCACTGCCATCGAGTTGTATCTGACTCATAGTGACCCATCCTTGGGTTTACGAGATGTATCACTACAGAAGTAGATTGCCCCACCTTCCTTCCGAGGAGTGGCTGGTGGGTTTGAACTGCTAGCCTTCTGGTTAGCAGTCAGATGCCTTAGGCACTATACCACCAGAGCTCCCAAACACCATATAGTTTCTAACATTCAGGTTAACCAAAGAAGCTCCTTTTTTAACCATGATATGAACAGATCAAAACATGTACATCATCACAATTTTCTCAAGCTTGCTTCAAAAAGATGTGTTTAATTATTTTCCAAAACAGAAAAGGTGTTGGGACATCACAGCAAGATGGCGGACTAGGCGTAAAGACTGCACAGACCCCCTTCAACAAAGAAAAGGGAAACCAATTAACACAGACACAGAACATAATCCTGGACCCCTGAACCTTGAAGGGAAGGATATAAAAGTGGACTAAACCCCAACTAGCAGAAGAATTTGCATGAAAATACCAAAAAAGGAGACGGACGGAGCTGCGGTCTAGCAGCGATCCTGAGTAATCCTGACAGCACAGACAGCTTGGAGATTCCTGAGTGGTGGTAGGACCTAAGAATTAACCAAAAAATCAACCCTGCTAGCCAGGGACTACACGGAGGACTATGCACGGTGGCCAGGGAATAAACAGAGAAGGTGAAGAGAAAGGCGGGCTGAGCTGTGGACTTTTGCCAGTCTGGAGGGCGCCACCATTTTGAAGCTTTAAAAGCAGCTTGACTATTTTGGATATTTAAAGAGACAGCGCTCTAGCAGATTCCTGGGGCTTAGGACCACGTTCTGCTTTCCAGCAACCCCAAGGACACTCGGACCTGCAAGACTGAAAAGTTTTTTGATGGTTATTCAGTTGTAATTTGTGTCTAACTGAGTGGGAGACAACAACAGTAGCCATAAGACATAACCACACCCACACCTCCTACGACGTCACTTACTGAGCGAGAGCCACTATCTCCTTCTCCACCAACAGGCCAATGATAGAAAACCACCAAGAACAGCCTGAATCACCCTTGGCTGCTCTTCACAAATGGTTAACAGAGATCTAAATACAACGCCATGATGCCTCAGAGACAGCAGACCATCACAGTCCACACAAAGAAGCAGGATAAAGTGGTAGAAACAAGGAAGCAGGATACAGACCCAGAACATATCCCAGAGGAAGAAGCAGCACTGAAATTCTCTGATAAGGAATTCAAAAGAATTATCTTTAGGTATCTTCAAA